CTTTTGTCCCTGCTCCCCTGCCCACCCATCCTCTTCCATGGTGGAATTCCTGATGTTCTTGGCTGCTCCCACTGGCCGTCTTCATGCGAAGGGCCCTGGCTGGCATTAGGCATGCTGGGGGAGGGGAGAGTATCCTTGGAGCTATTTTCCTGGATGTCACCGTGTTTTGAAATGTTTGCAGGCACCATCATGTGTTATGGGCAGACGGGAGCTGGCAAGACATACACCATGATGGGGGCAACTGAGAATTACAAGCACCGGGGGATCCTCCCTCGTGCCCTGCAGCAGGTAGAGAGTGGGCCCAAGGGTGGGATGCCACACAGGTTCCCTCTCTCTGCCATAGATGTTACTGACCCCAGGCCAGCTACTAGAGACAGGGGGGACCAGGCCTCAAAGGAGTTGCAGTGGGTACTGGTACTGGAGAAAACATACACAGGGCTCTGGAGTCAGTAGACTCAGGGGCCTCAGGAAACCAGGAGGTTGGGTGTCAGACTCTGACCCATACCCGCACTGAGCCTGTTTCCTCATTTGGGAAGGAGGGAGTCAGGCATGCTAATCAGCCTCTTGCTGCTCCAATGGTCTGTGATCCTGTAATTAAGGATTTGGAGGTCCTAATCATTCTCCTTCCTGGTTTTAATGAGGGGCATATGGACCCTTGCAGAGCTTCCTTAATGGCTTACTGTGGCTTTTTTTCACCACCACAGACCCTGAAAGATCAAAAGCAAAAAGCAGGGCATGACCTGAGCTTTCAGGACTGTGTCAGCCCTGGGGGTCTCAATAGCATAACTGAAGATAGGACAGAAGGGCCTTCCTTTGGGCCCCACAAGCCTGGGTTCTGTAAGGACCCTCTGGTTGGAGGTAGGAGGCAAAAGACTTTCCCCGAAAGCATCTTGGCGGCTTTACAGCCCTGTCCTATAACACTTTTGCAGCCCGGTCCTATAAGAAGTGTAGACATTCCTCTAGTATGTGAACCATCCATGTTCCTGTTTTTGGAGCAATATCCTTAATATCCCACTGTCAAAGCTTTAGTATCTCAGCATCTTAGACTTTAGTAATCTAGCCCAATGCCTCTAATAGAAATATACTGTAAGTCACATGCAAATTTGAGTTTTCCAGTAACCACATTTAAAAAAGTAAAAATAAACAGATGAAATTAATTGTAATGATATATTTTATTTAACTAAATATATTTAAATATTTCCGCATGTAATCAATATAAACTTATTGAGATAGTTTACATTCTTTTTCTCATACTAAGTCTTTGAAATCCAGTACATATTTTATACTTGGAGCACATTTCAGTTTAGGCATAAATATGATCAGAAATGCTTGATCTGTATTTAGATTTCATAAAATGTTGAAAAAGTAGATTTACATACCCAAGTTGTTTCAGACATACTTAAAGTTTACCAATAACTGAATTGCATCAGTTTTTAAATCTAAATGTGGCCGGGCGTGGTGGCTCAAGCCTGTAATCCCAGCACTTTGGGAGGCCGAGACGGGTGGATCACGAGGTCAGGAGATCGAGACCATCCTGGCTAAAACGGTGAAACCCCATCTCTACTAAAAAATACTAAAAAAGACTAGCCGCGCGAGGTGGCGGCGCCTGTAGTCCAGCTACTCGGGAGGCTGAGGCAGGAGAATGGCGTGAACCCGGAGGCAGAGCTTGCAGTGAGCCGAGATCCAGCCACTGCACTCCAGCCTGGGCGACACAGCGAGACTCTGTCTCAAAAAAAAAAAAAAAAAAAAAAAAATCTAAATGTAATTTAAGTGACATAAAATTTAAAATTTTCAGTTCATTTGTACTAGCCACATTTTAGGTACTCAGCAGCCATCTGTAACTTATGTCTACCATTCTTGAACAGCACACGGTGTAAAATTCTTAGAGGAGGCAGGACCTCAGGAATTATCCCTTCCTTGATAAGCACTGGGGAGGGAATTAGGAGTTGAGAAGGCTAAAGTTCTGGCTTTACTTCCTACCCTTACTAGCTGAGTGACCATAGACAAATTATTTATTTATTTTTTTTATTTTTATTTTTTTGAGATGGAGTCTCTGTCACCCAGGGCTGGAATGCAGTGGCAACGATCTCAGCTCACTGCAAGCTCCGTGTCCTAGGTTCAAAGATTCTCCTGCTTCAGCACTCCTGAGTAGCTGGACTACAGGCCACACTACCATGGCCAGCTAACCTTTTTAATAATTTTGTAGAGACGTGGTTTCACCATGTTGGCCAGGATGGTCTTGATCTCCTGACCTTGTGATCTGCACACTCCACCTTCCCTAAAGGCTGGGCATTTACACCGCTGCCACCTGGCCGACAAATAATTTTATTTCATGGTGCCTTCCACAAATAGGTATTGCCCCTGCACTGCCTCAATCACAGAGATTTATAAGCGGATGGAATTAAATAGATTCGAAAGAGGCACATAAATGATGAGACTCTATAAAATAAATCCTCACTCCAGAGTCCTTTCCACTCATTATGCTTCTACTTCTTGAGATGGTTCAAGTGTTAGCCAATCTGATGTCAAGCCTCAAAAAACTATAGGATGATACTTAATATCACCCAATTCCTTTAGGACAAGAATAATTCTGTATGTCTTGATGTTCCCTTCTGAGGTAAGAAGCCCCCCTTATGCTAGTTGACTGTTGGAGTTCTGCTCTTGTCTGTCATCTAGGTTTTTAGGATGATCGAAGAACGCCCCACACATGCCATCACTGTGCGTGTTTCCTACTTGGAAATCTATAATGAGAGCCTGTTTGATCTCCTGTCCACTCTGCCCTATGTTGGACCGTCAGTCACACCAATGACCATCGTGGAAAACCCTCAAGGAGTCTTCATTAAGGGCTTGTCAGTTCACCTCACAAGTCAGGAGGAGGATGCATTCAGCCTCCTTTTTGAGGTGAGATAATAAAACCTGAGAGTTCCTTTCCTTGTCTCCCTCCCTCCCACACTCCTTCTCAGCTTTTCTTTTTCTTTGTTCTTTTTCTTTTTCCTTTTTTGAGACAGGATCTTGGTTTGTCTCCAAGTCTGGACTATACTGGCATGAACATGGCTCACTGCAGCCTCGACCTCCTGGACTCAAGAGATCCTCCTGCCTGAGCCTCCCAAGTAGCTGGGACCACAGGCGCATGCTACCATGCCCACTTAATTTTTTTTTTTCTGTAGAGACAAGGTCTTGCCATGTTGCCCAGGCTAGTCTTGAACTCCTGGGCTCAAGCGATCTTCCCGCCTCAGCCTCTTGAAGTGCAGGGATTACAGGCAAGCTACTGTGTCCAGCTAGTTTTTTACTTACTTTGATTATCAGAATGGAAATTAACATATGCATATTTAGCATATTCAGACAGTGCTGAAAAAAAAATATAGGAACAAAAAAGAATTTTATTTCCTCTTCCTTTCCTGTTACATAAATAAAAAGACAAAGAAAAAAATGATTCATGCATAATATGTTTTTTACATAAGGCAACAGTAATGTATATTTTAGCTCATTTCCTTCCAGTCTTTTTTCCTGTGCAGTTTTTTCTTTACATAGTTGAAATGATTCTTATGTCCCTTTTTTCAGTTAATGTTAAATTATGAGCTCTTGTATGGAAAAAAATAAGGCCGGGTGTGGTGGCTGATTCCTGTAATGCTAGCACTTTGGGAGGCTGAGGTGGGTGGATCACCTGCAATCAGGAGTTTGAGACCAGCCTGGCCAACATAGTGAAACCCCGTCTCTACTAAAAATACAAAAAATTAGCTGGGTGTGGTGGCGGGTGCCTGTAATCCCAGCTACTAGGGAGGCTGAGGCAGGAGAATCACTTGAACTCGGGAGACGTAGGTTGCAGTGAGCCAAGATCGTACCATTGCACTCCAGCCTGGGCAACAGAGCAAGACTCAGTCTCAAAAAAATAAAATAAAATAAAAGCTTTTAGAAACCAGTCAAATGCACTGCTACAGTGGCTCACGCCTGTAATTCCAGCACTTTGGGAGGCCAAGACGGGTGGGTCACTTGAGCTCATGGGTTTGAGACCAGCCTGGGCAACACAGTGAAACCCCATCTCTACCAAAAATACAAAAATTAGTCAGGCATGGTGGCGCATGCCTGTGGTCCCAGCTGCTTGGGAGACTGAGGTGGGAGGATCACTTGAGCCCAGGAGGTAGAGGATTCAGTAAACCGAGATCATGCCACTGCACTCCAGCCTGGGTAATAGAGCAACACTCTGTCTCAAAAACAAGAAATCAGTCAAGTGTATGTTATTCTTTTAGAAGTCATATAGGCTAGGAACTCTTTATTTTTTTATGTGAGTTCTTGCTATATTGCCCAAGCAATGGGCACCTGTGCAATGGCTACTCACAGGCATGATCATAGCGCCTTCTCACAGCATAGCTACTTACTTCCTCAACGTCAATAGCGGGATCTTTTTTAAAGGCCGGGAGCGGTGTCTCACACCTGTAATCCCAGCACTTTGGGAGGCCAAGGCAGGTGGATCACAAGGTCAGTAGATAGAGACCATCCTGGCTAACATGGTTAAACCCCGTCTGTACTAAAAATACAAAAAATTAGCCGGGTGTGTTGGTGGGCACCTGTAGTCCCAGCTACTTAGAAGGCTGAGGCAGGAGAATGGCATGAACCTGGGAGGCGGAGCTTGCAGTGAGCCGAGATCACACCACTGCACTCCAGCCTGGGGGACAGAGTGAGACCCCAAAAAAAAAAAAAAAAAAAAAAATCTAAATGTAATTTAAGTGACATAAAATTTAAAATTCAGTTCATTTGTACTAGCCACATTTTAGGTACTCAGCAGCCATCTGTAACTTATGTCTACCATTTTGAACAGCACAGGTGTAAATTCTTAGAGGAAGGCAGGACCTCAGGAATTATCCCTTCCTTGATAAGCACTGGGGAGGGAATTAGGAGTTGAGAAGGCTAAGTTCTGGCTTTACTTCTACCCTTACTAGCTGAGTGACCATAGACAAATTATTTTATTTATTTTTTTATTTTTATTTTTTTGAGATGGAGTCTCTGTCACCCAGGCTGGAATGCAGTGGCACGATCTCAGCTCACTGCAAGCTCCGTGTCCTAGGTTCAAAAGATTCTCCTGCTTCAGCCTCCTGAGTAGCTGGGACTACAGGCGCACACTACCATGCCCAGCTAACTTTTATAATTTTAGTAGAGACGGGGTTTCACCATGTTGGCCAGGATGGTCTTGATCTCCTGACCTTGTGATCTGCCCACCTCCACCTCCTAAAGTGCTGGGCTTACACGCTTGAAATGATCCTCATGTCGCTTTTTCAGTTTAATGTTAAATTAATGCAGCCTTCATATGAAAAAATCAAGGCACGGGTGTCCGTCGGCTGGCGCGACCACCACTTCCCTGTTAATGCTGACAACCCCTTCGGCAGCTGACGGTGGCGTCGATCACCTGCAATCGACGTTAGAGGACAACCAACGACAGAGCCTGGCCAACACTAGTGAATACCCCCGTCTCTACTAACAATACAAAAAATAGCTGGGGTGTCTGTGTGGGGGTGCCTGTAATCCCAGCTACTAGGCGAGGGCTGAGGCAGGAGAATCACCTTGAACTCACGGGAGACGTAAGTTCAGTGACGCCAAGATCCGTAACCATGTGCACACCCAGCCTGGCAACAGACCAAGACCTCCAGTCCTCAAAAAAATAAATAAAATAAAGCTTTTTGAAACAACGTCAAATGCCTCGCTACATGTGGCTTCACCCGTAATATCCAAGCACTGTCTGCGGCAGGCCAAGACCGGTATGGGTCAACATCTGGCCAACTCATGGTTCTAGAGAGGGGCTAAGACCAGCCTGGGGCAACGCACAGTGAAACCCCATCTCTACCAACAAATACCAAAATTAGTCAGCAGCACTGTGCTCGCATCGCCTGGGTCCAGCTGCTTGGGAGAACTGAGGTGGGAGACCACTTGAGCCCAGGAGGTAGAGATTCAGCCTAAACCTGAGATCCAGATGCCCTGCCCTCCACTGCGGTAATAGAGCCAAACTGCTGTCCTCAAAAACAAGAAATCAGCTCCACAAGTGCTATGGCTTATATTCTTTTAGAAGCCGTCATAAGGCAAGGGAACAATCTTTTATTTTTTTATGGTAGTTCTTGCTATATTGGCCCAAGCACATGGCCACATGTGCAATTGCTCTCCAGCATGATCCATAGCGCCTTCCTCACGAGCATGCTACTCTACTCCTCAACGTCAATACCCGCGATGTTTTTAAAGCCGGAGCAGTGTTCTTCACACCTGTACAGTCCCCGCACTTTGGGGAGCCAAGGCAGTGGATCACAAGGTCCAGTAGATAGAGACCAATCCTGCCGCTAAACATGCGTTAATACCCGAACCGTCTGTACTCCAAAAAGATACAAAAAATTAGCCGGGTGGTGTTGGGTGGCACCTGTCACATCCGCTGCTAGAAGGCTGAGCCAGAGAATCGGCAACCTGAACAGCTGGCGAGCCGGAAGCTTGAAAGCTGAGCCCGACCGATCACGCCTGCACTCCACGCCGTGGGGACAGAGTGAGACCCCATCTCAAAGCAGAAGAAAAAAAACCAAAAAAGGTGCGTCAGAAAGGCAACCGGCACAGGCTGGGCGTCGGTGTTTCCGCCTGGTAGACCCAGACTTCTGGGAGGCCGGCAGGGCAGCATACACCAGCTGGACAGTCAGAAGTTCAAGACCAGCCTGGACCAACATAGTGAAACCCCCCCCCTAATTAATAGAGTACAAAAAAAAAGAAAAACCAGAAAAAAAAACAGAAGACAAGGCAGAGGGTACTTCCACGACGGGACTCGAAGCATACCCGGTGAATGACCTGGCTGTGGGTGGCTACATGCGCCCTGTAACGTCTTAACTTAGTAGACTTTGGGACGACGAGGCAGGAGGATTCGCTTGACGCTCAGCCGAGTTTCGAGACCCAGGCCCTGGCGCAATCACGCGCGAACCCCTGTCTCTACAAATAAACATCAGAAACACAACTCTACAGCCTGGCATCGGTGGTCCTGTACCCTGTGCGTTTTAGCTACTTGGAGGCCTGAGGTACGCGAGGATCACCTCTGAGCCCCGGAGGCAGAACCGTTCAGTGACCCACATCGATACGAGCCCACCTGCACTTTACCCTACGGCGGAACACCACGGGTGGATTGAAAACCTCAAAAAAAAAAAGAAAAAAGATGAACGTGACCCCTTATATTCTTCGGTGAGTCCTCACTGCGGATTTGTAGACAAGGCCTGACCACAGACTAT